ATTGTTAATTATGCAAATCTCATAAAATATCAAATGAACGTAACCATCACAGGTAGTAAAATTCAAAAATGTATTTATAGCAGTGTGAAATGTGTGCCTGATCTAACCTGCTATGTTTGTGCAGGCAGCTAAAAATTCACAGTGGACAACTTGACTGAGACAAAGACCAGCTGTTAGAGCCACCAACTTATAAGCTGCAAGTTGGTGGTTTGAGTCCCTGTTCAGATGCTGGCATCTGCTGACTGTTTTTTGTACAGAATGCCTCACCAAAGTAAGCATTAGAAACAACTTGCATGATGGTAAATATAGATATAGATATATATGTTGATGCCAGGTTAATGCAAAATATCCAAAAGTTCCATGCATCCAAATTCAGAAATTGAAGAAATCTGACCTGCATGGGAGGCCAAGCCTTTAATGTCCCAAACAAACATTAGCTTTTAAGTTTTTTTCAATTAGCATAAATGCAACCACCAAGCCCTTTTGATATAAGTAATAACTCAGCCACAGTAAAACAAACAAACAAAAAAGGATTAGGCTAATGGCTGTTTCTCAAGAGCAGGCTCACATCAGGAATGTGACGTATGGTGCTGCATGTTCATCTGGTCTGGATTTGTCCTGTTGCCTCAGGGACAGGACAGCTGGCTGTTTTTAATGCATTTATAAATTCTGCATTATATCAAAGATTCTTTCAAGCTAATGTGAGGCAATCTGAAATTTAAACTAAAAGCTGGCCTTTCAACAGGATAAAAATCTTTGCACACTAATACATCGACCGGGGAACAGATTAAACCCCCCCCCAAAAAAAGCAAGTGGAATAGCCAAGTCGCAGCTCAGATTTCAATCTAACTTCCATGGAAGAAAAAGTCTGATGGAGACTAATTATGCCAAACACTATCAAAAAGTTTCCAGTAAAGAGTTTACTTACTTTTCCCAAGGATCAAATTAGATCAGCAGATACTTTTGTTGAACTAATGTTTGAAAAAAGTGTTTGTATGTTCAGTTTTTCATATTTATCTTTTGGTGCCATTTCAGAGTGGATCAAATGGCTCAATGGCGTTTTCTTTTTCTCTGTTATTTTGTGCAAAGTATGAGCTTTGACCCGTCGTGTTTAATAATTCATTAAACTGTTTAACTGGAGATGAGTTCACTGAAAAGTAGGAGAGATTTAAGCTAAGCTAAGATTCCCCCCCCCCAACAAGAACAAAAACCAAAAAAAACACTGACTACACTGGGAAATGTTTTGCAAGTGTAGTTGAAGGAAAACTCACCTGTTAGATGTCATGTCTGTAATCATAAATGCCTTCGGGATCCACATAGCTAAGCATGACATGGTGGAAATGACCTGAAACGGTAAAATAGTTGTGTTTAAAAACATGCAGCTGCAACGCTTATAGCGTTTGAAGACGTCTGTTAATGTAATGTGGCTTGCTTTCTCAATCATATTTGTTTTACAATCAGTGGCATGTTATAAAACTTAAGCAGGCCAGGATACTCACTGGTGCTGCACCGTTTACCCAAATGACCAAGGTCTTCTTGGGGTAGGGTAGTTTTTTGTAAATATAGGCACACTGTTCCAGGTACACAAGCAGGGAGACACAGGACATCAAGGTGAGCATGAAGTACAGGCAATAGCCAAATGTATCTAGCTCTGATTTAAAAAAAACAAAACAATAGGAGACACATAGAAACAGCATGAATCAGACTTTCTTCAGGTTAAAATCTAAATGAATATAGTAGTGTGTATAACTTACGGTTGAGCATGTCAATAGCCAGCGGACGACCCTTCAGACAAGCTGGATCAATGGTTCCATTTAAAGCTTCCATGGTAGGCAGACGCTTGTCTTAAAAAATAGACTAAAAATAGACTAACAAATATTAACAAGAGTAAAATTTAAAAAATATAAATAGTGTTGCAGTCATAAAAGTAAAACCTGCTTCCCCTTTACATTCCAGAGTCTTCAACACAGAGCTGAGTACCTTGCACTTAAGGGATTCTGAAGAAGTGAAGGTGGGATAAGAAGTGGCAGGCAACTTTATGAGAACACATGAGCAACTGGTCACGCATTTATTCACAGGTTTAAGTGACTGTAATTAAAAAACACAAAGGTCAGAGTTTTAGTGAAAGGCTGAGATTCATTGTGCGTCAGGAAAAGTGAACTTTGGCAGGGTGTGTTATTTCCTTTTCAGTGCATAACGTGAGCTGTGAGCTATAGTTTTTGATTCTCGGCTAATTTACAGTATTTCAACGTTAAACTATTGCTTTAAAGGTTTGCTTTCATTACTTCAGTCTCAGTTTGGCTTTCTGGTATGAAAGTTTAGGCTCAGCTATGGTCAGGTATGTTACGCAGAAATCTGTGAAGCCATAGGAACATTTTATCCAGTTCTCCAAAATGCAAAGTGATTATTTTTTAACCTTTTCCACAGAACTATATATAAAACTACTAAAGAAAGCCAGTATGGCATGAATGGGAGCAGAGAAAAACTAATGAGAAACGTTTAAAGTTTCAGATCTATTACCTAGAAAAATTCCAGAGGGTTCAAATGTTGAGTGGTGAGACTATTAAACTTTATCTGTTATTCTATTACAGAGAGGTGAATGGCACTGTGGTCGCTCAACTGTTTCTGGCTAATAATTGTCTAGTTTTGTCCCCCATGTCATCCTATTTCTTTTGCAAGAAGGGAAAAATGCTCACAATCTTGATTCAGCTCCAATACACACATTTCACCTGTTTATAGTACAACAGCACACACAGTGCCAAAATTTCAACACCCACCAGAGGTAAAATAAAACACAAGATTTATGAAAGTTTAACCACAGTGGTTAACCATTTAACCCATTTGGTTCTTTAGCCGTCAGAATTGTTGTCTGAAGACCAACAAGGATACCCAATGGATTTACTTTGCCAAATGGATCATCACGACCTATTGGTCCATTTGATCAACCTTTGTTGTTATTATTTATTTTATTTTATTTTCAGTTGTTACAGACGGGACAGACATGACTGAGGGATAGGAAAGGGAGAAAGAAAGATGAAGGAAAAGACAAACAGAAGGGAAGAGGGACAGTGAGAAAGGGCACTTAAAAAGAGAAAGAAGAGAAAGAAAAACCTCCTGGATCACCTGTTGAGAGAAAAAGAAGAGAAAACAAGCAGAAAAAACAGAGCAACACACTAAACACAACACCATCACGTTAATCTAGCTAAGTGTAAACAGCAGTAAATACTAAATATTGAATGTTGTTGTGTAGCAAGCAGGACCGACAGCGCACAATGTGCTTGGAAATAGCAGCCAATAAAGGTGTAGTTTATGTCTATGAACAGTGAACACCCGTGTGCACACCTGTGTGGATCAGCGCGCTTGTATTCAAAAGGTTTCCCCATGTAATGGTCTGCTAGAGGATGTAGGGAACCATAGCCCCGTCCCCCAGGGCATGAAGCAGGCATGGAGGAGATCCAGGCTCCAGACATCCAGAGGCCCCAGAGTGCGAGAGCCCAAGGAGGACCACCGGAGGGGCATTAAGTGATAGTTTGTGGAAGGTGCGAAAGCAGAAGAGAACTGGCCACACTACCTGTGTAGAAAACCTTAGAACTGTTCACAGCTTACAGTGAGGTAAACGATTACTTCATTCCCTGCTGAAGTTGTAAGTTTGCTCAGTTGTAAAAAAAAAATGCTCACTTCTGGCTTTAAAAACACAGCCTTTGTCCAACATGCTAATGCAGAGTTTTAAAAAACTGGTGGCGGTGGGCAGTACCACTCAACCTCCTAGTAGATGTACCTATGGCAGGGGTGTCCGACTCCAGGCCTCAAGGGCCTTGCAAATATCACCCTGGGTCAACACACCTGAATCAAATGATTAGTTAATTACCAGCCGTGTTGGATCAATAACACATCTAAAATCTGCTGGACACCGGCCCTTGAGGCCTGGAGTTGGACACCCCTGACCTATGGCTTGAGTTTCGAAATCTTACGTTACCTTGTTCACAAGTTATCGCATTCACAAGATTTTTAGAAAACTTGACCTCTGACCTTAATGGTCAAGGTCACTGAGATTAGAATTCATCCAAGAATTTTAGTAAAATAAATAAAAAATAAAAATTTTATTTATATAGCACCTTTCAAGACAGAATCACAAAGTGCTGCACATAAGATTACAAGTCATAATAAGATTTAAAAAAGACAAAATAAAACAGGCAAAAAATTAACCAAAAGCAGTTTTAAAAAGGTGAGTTTTGAGTTGTTTTTTAAAAAGAGCTACTGAGTCCACAGTTCTTAATGTTTGGGGCAGAGAGTTCCACAGTCTCGGGGCCACAGTGGGAAAAGCTCTGTCACCCTTACTTCTCCTCTTAGTCTGTTTTATAGCAAGTAAGCCCTGATCAGATGACCTCAGGGACCTGCTGGGGACATCGGGCTGTAGCAGATCAAAGATGTAGGCTGGTGCCAGTCCGTGCACAGCTCTGTAAGTTAAGACCAGGATCTTGAAATTGACTCTAAATTCAACAGGAAGCCAGTGTAACTGAGATAACAACGGTGCCACATGTGAGTACATGGAGGATTTTGTCAAGATACATATATTTATCGACAGATAAGCTAACAGCAAAATGATCACTAATTCTTTTTTTTTTGTTCATATTTCCAGTACAAATATGACAGACCCCCCCCCCCATAAAGGCACTGCTCAGGTATAGAGTTCAATGGCAAAGGCAAAGCCATTAAAATCAAAGTTTCATCACATATACTTCACTGGAATCCAGTTAAAGCTTAATTGGTCATGACTAACATCTTGTAAGCACTTAAGGTCCACAAGTTCAGTCATCTGCAGATCTGCAGAGTTGTTCCTCAGTCAAGGGAACATTTTAAAATCACATTTTTGACAAAAACAAATCACACATTTGTTAAAGAATAGGGATGTATAGTTGTATTACATTTATTGTTACATAGCAATCATTAAGCAGCACGAACAATTTCGTAATAAAAAAAAAAAAGCATAGTTTTTTCAAACAGGCAGCAGCTCCAGGTACCTGTTGTTAAGTTCACTGACATCAGTCATTGAACTTCTGTGAGTCACTAATCATGTAGGCTAAAAGTAAAATCAGTCAATCATGTTTTATTGTGCTACACATACTCCTAAAGGAAGGTAATATAAGGAAATAGTAGCGGCCAGTAAAGAGTGAAAAAAGGTTGTGACACCTTTGGATCACTGGTATAAACTCCACCTCGTCTATCGAGCTTTAGGCTCAAGGACATAATTGCCTGTTCTTTATGACTTTTTTTTTTTATTGTGGGGTTTTTTATGTTCTGTGCTTTTTTATGTTCTGTGCTTTTGAAACTTTTAAATTTCTTTGAAAGTGGTGGACACAAACAGAAGACACTTCAAATAGATTCATGTTAATATAGAAATACAAAGGATGTTAGTTCTGTAGATGAAGAAGGAAATCACTTGTATTAATGTCTTTTTGAAAATAAATAAAATGTGATTTACAAATAAATACTTAGAAAGAATGCAATTACTTTATAAAACAGGACAAATTACAGATAATTATAGTGCAATGAAAAATCTACCTGATCATCTTGGAATTATGGGAGACCTGTTGGCTTTGTGTTTCAAGTATCCGGATTGAGATTAAACCATTTCAACAAGCATTAAACTGGATTTGGTCATCTAAGTTTTAGCATTTATCATCTTTATGTTTTTCCTATCAAATATATTATGAAATGAAAAATAAATATTTTAAAGTGTAAACAGAAAGACCTTCAAATATTTACAAATATGTAAACTAAATTTGAGACCATCTGATAACAGACTGCTGCTAATTGCACTGTGCTTGAAGTTCACCTTATAAGACACGCACACACACACCCACACACACACATTATTTCGGATGAAAATCAACGTACAAACCTTTTGCTCTGCAATTAGTGATTAAGAGGTTGATTAATACTGATAAAGGATGACTCTCTAGATGAAATCTTAAACATAAAACAGACAAAGACAAACATTGGCTCCCACATTTTGGGGATTATTTGAATGTCTTTGGTTTATCTTAAAGACATCTCCTTCCCTGAATCTCTTCTGCTTCAGACTGGTGCAGTCTATGAGGTCGCTGTAGAGGCTCTTTCTACATGATAGCAATATTGTTGCTGTGCTCTTTCAAAGCACGCTGGATGAGGAATGGTCCATGTAATAAAAACAAATACAAAACATGTGGTTTGAGGCTGCATTAAAGCTTAAAATAAAGGTCTAGGATGACTCCCGTTGAGGTGATGATACTCCTGGTTTAAGGCATTGTAGTTGAGATATGTTGTCTACTGCTCCTTCTCTATTGTCACGGAGACAGTCTGTCCGCCATCTAAAAGGAAACAGTGCGCACAAAAGATGTTTCAGGATGGGTTGTTTATTGAGCACAAACAAAAGCAATTAGGACACAAAAGCATGAAATTGTGAGAAAGGGCATTAGTAACATACTCATTTTCTCTTTGCTGCCATCTTCTGTGTGCTGAACATTATTGCTGAGGACATGCGGGTTAGCTTCTCCATCAGCAGGACTACAATTAAAGTCAAACAGAAATTAATTCAAAGTAAATAAAATTGAAGCCTCTGATATTAAAGATTTGAAAGAAATAGAAAACTTACCCTTTGCCATTCGGCTGGAGGACACTGTTTGCTTGCTCAGGATCTATCTGTACCAATCTGGTGACAAAGGAATGCCCATCTCCCTGACTGAAAATACAGAAAAAAAAAAAATAAATAAATCTTCACATTGTTTTTTTTGTTTTTAAATATATTTCTGACACTCCATGAAAGTAACTTTAATTAAAAAAAGCTGGATAGGTCTGTTAGTACAAAACCAATTACCCTCCCATACTCAGTAGGCATGCACTAACACCATCTGTATGCGTACATTATTTATTCTGACTGATATGACGTGGGTGAAAGTTTGGGCGTGCATCAGCTTTTGCCCCCTCATTTTGACTCTGTGATCCATTTTGTT